ATAATGTATCGACCTTAACACCTATATCAAACGACCTATCTACACTATCATCATTGACCGGACAATCTACATCTACATGGCGCACATGACTGTGTTTAGCCTTGGTAGCGACTTCAAAATCTTTGAACAATTCCAGTGCGGCATCTCTGAAATGGTTAAAGGTTTGGCCAGAGTTAGACAGCTGCAATCTCTTCAGCTCAAATCGTGCGCTTTGTCCGCGCGCTCCTGCCACAAACTGATTGATAAGAGTTTTGTCCTTCAGTTTTCCTAAGGAATCTCTCTCATCTTGGGGAGCTATGCGCAAAATTCTCTCATACATCCTAATTAAGGCACGGGAGAAATCCATCAGGGACTCATCTTCTAATTGCCCTCTTTCAAAGAAAACCTTCTGAAGGGACTGTAGTGTCTCCCCTCCCCCAAACTGGTTATAAAGCAGTTTAATCAAGAGCGAGTGATTGGATTTAACATCTTCCCTACTTTTTACTTCTACTCGCGCAGGTCCAGCCAAATGATCAACTATCACTTGAGCCTTCCCCTTCTCTGGGATGTTGCACTGCCTACAGTAAATATCAACTTCCTCTAACCACTCCTTCAGAGTCGGGTCTCCTGCCCTCACTGGCTTTCCCTTAAACCGCTCAAGTTTGATCGGTCGTTCCCTGGTGGTACTATTCTGTTTTAACGCGTTCGCTAGTTCCGAGACTAACTGAGTCATTAAACTCGCCTCCGTTGCCATAGTTGTCTGAACTATCCTAGCTACACACACGCGCAAGTCCACAGCGCACACAAAATCAAGTATCAAAGCCAGAAAGGACCCCCCCCAAAAAAAAATTAATGGGAAACTACCAAGCCCACACAGACTGCCACGCAACAACTGTCTGAACTACACAATTACTGGCCCCTTAACCGTGTATGCATGCACATAACCTTGAATGAATTTACCCCACATTCAAACAGTACCCGCTAATACACAATTCCCATGAAATTAAACGCACTCACTAAGTAAATCAATGTCAATTGGGCCTAATTAACAATGAACAATACCGCTATTAAACAGTTCATTGTCGACTCCGTCTCCGGTGCATTTCTCCACTTCAACGCAACTCCTCCGGGTAGAACCACTGATGCTTGAATAGCCCGTCTGCACCGTCGCTCATCAACACCGTTGGACCATGCATCCGACGCGATCTCCGGCTGCACACCGTGTCGCTCCTGGACTCGCTCCCCGTCACACACCCACAGCGTGCGGTCGCACGCCCGATGACTGTGGCGAAATCTTCAACTTTTGATCGAGTCCCAGTCGTCTGCACTCACCAAACACGGCCAAGAGAACCAGTCCGATGGCTTGATGATGACCCCGCAGCATCTGCAAAACTATAGTCCCGCCGAAGAATAACTACAAACACCCCATCCGTGTTACCAATTTGTAGTGAGCGCGGAGTAGCGCCGTGGGGCTTGAGTCTCGTTGGGGGCGAGTTGACATACACACACACACACAGCGGAGATTAAGTTTCACCGGAGAATCACTGATTATTTATTCATTAATTAATGTTCATTCGTCTTCATTGGTTGCTCAGGGTCGAAGGGAAGGAGGTAGCCAGTCGCTGCACCAGGCTAAGCACGACAAACAGTAGCTTTCATCATGATTTCCAGTGGTATTCGGGGGATTTATCTCTGTATTTTCCCCAACTCGGAGACCATTCCTCTCATCTCTTCCCGTGACTGACACAGATTTCTATTCTTCTCGTTTTCACTAGTATAGTTCCGGAGCACTGCCCCGCGAAGCCTGTTTACCGCTGTCTGGGTTACCTCTCCCTTCTCTTAGAATAAACAGCTTTTGTATCACTCTAAAGAACCTTAGTAATATACAAAGAGTATACTTAACTACCAAATTATGTAAGATACAGTCTTTTATAAGCACCAAACAATCATTAATGAGGCCCTATATTATCTTACACGACACCGAATGCCAGTCTTTGCAGACATATCCCTGCGCTGCATGGATACACGTTCTATTTTTAGAATATTGTGCACACACCTGGGAGGCCAGCTTTTGGCAATTTAACGGTGAGTAGGCGAGCGCCCTCTGTTGGCCAAATTTGTGAATGATCAACAACAAATCACTATCATAAGTCATTTCTCCACAGTATGATTGAATGTCAATCTACTGAATGCAGAGTAAAAGTATTTCATTTAAGATGTCTTGGATTAACGGTGCTGCCAAAGACAAAGCGGTATTTATGCCCAAATTGTAAAAAGATTGAGGTTGCACAAAAACGTACAGCAAAGGTTAAGGAACAGTAAGTATATTCATAATGGGCAACCAATAAAATGAAGGGGAGAATTTATATCAAGGGGATGGTGTGGGAATGAGCCTGCATTAAGTTATTTTCCGAAGTAATTTCTGTGGGCATAATTTAGAGCTTCAAATCTGTTAAGATCAGTTTTAAAACTACATAGAGTAGCTTTTGCAGTGCAAACATTAAATACATGTACACACCCATAGTTGAGCAGTTATGGTAGCGTTTGTTTATGGTGTCAATCGAGGACACACATGTGCAACATCATCTATGAATCAAGGACTCCTCGGTTGGAAAATGTGTACAGAACCAATGAAAGCTGTTGCAAATAAGTTTAGAGTACAAACAAAGGAAAAGGGACGAGGAACAAAAACAATCCTTGATTTGCACCATAAACAAGGGGGTATGTACATGTCTGCATTAAATGGAGAAAGCTTTGTTTAGAAAAGGACATGGTGTTTAACAGGGGTGCAGCTGACCTAAAATGACACTTAACAAAGCATAATGACTCTTAAACAGGTCTGTACATCGTGGTACTTGCTAATACCAAAGAGGAAAATTCTACGTTGGTGTAGGGCAAAACCTAATTTGATTTATATCACCCCGGCGCAAAAAAATCCATCTTATAGGAAAATTCTAAATATAATGGTGAATTTGGAAGTTTTTTCTCGTGAAATGCTGACCAATTTAGAAAAGTCTCAGCGTTTCTAAATTTTGTTTTTGCAACCTGTTTAGGTGCCTTAGGTTATATATAAGTTATTAAACAATCATTAAAGAGGGGCAATTGTAGGCAATTTCAAGTGTTTAACAGTATTTTATTATTGGCGACTGTCCAGTATTTTATGTACAAGTGCATAAGATATATTTCAGGAGATGTGAAATAGAAATCATACATTTTTAACTACAATAATAACATATGAATATATTAACAGTGTTTTGACTGTCAGTGTTCCAATTTTATATATTTATGGTACTGGGATATGACTAATCAAAGTGCCTACTTCCATTTTCTTAGATGTTAAATTCATATTGCTGACCCTAATATATAAGAACAAAAATAGAAATCACTCTTTATATATTAATTTTACTTTTACTTATTTTTTACGTGACAATAAACTTTTCAAATTCTTTGATCCTCTATGTACCTGCTTATGCTTTACATGTATTTAAGTTTAACTAAACCTGGGGAAATGGAAAGATAAATTTACAAATATGATACATGTATACTAATAAATAGCCTTGTTCATCCCGGTACACGCAATAAATTATTCTTTGAAAATATATGTAAAATATTTGTTTTCCATCTCAAATAAGATTGTAAGTGTAATATACAGAAAAACAGTTTGCAGTATTTTAATTTTAGACTTCATGTTTATGTACATATAATAGAGCACCATAAAAGATTTTAAACCCTCAGATCTCTGGTCTCAATGTATATGATTGTGTGAATTAAAAATATATTTTTTTTATACAAGTATGCTTACTTCTAAAAGTATTAAAAAAAATTTGGTTCTCACATGAGGATGAGCTTAATACAAACAACATATAGACCAGCACATTTGGAAAGGCCACAAAAGAAAATAGTTCTGCTTCCCGTTTCTATATCAACCTATTCTGGCAGCCCTACCTAAATTTTGTATGGTAAAAATGAGGCAAAAACACCCAAAACCATCAATTTCTACCTTTTACCCTTGACTACACGTAGACACGTCCATATGATCATACAAAAAAAATTTCCTACATGTTTAGTGACTGTGTCCTGCCTTTTTGAAAACAAGGAAGAGGGAGGCCCTTTTTTTTCTCCCTCCAAAATGGCTGCCCGACCGGGCTATTTTTCAAGATGGTTGCCAGTTGTTTTTTGGTTTTTTTTTACTCAGGAAATGACGTAACAGCTTTATATGGGCTACATGCAACGGATAAAGAGGCCAAAATAATGTCACTGTTGAAAATAAAACATTTTTTTCCGTTTAAAAAAAAAGGAGGCGGCCTCCAAAAAGGAAGCGGGCAGGGACGCTTAACATGTTTTTTTTTTATTTCGTCTAATTATGCTTGTAATTTCCCCTAAAAATTATGCACGTACAAGTTCCAATTGTGAACATGCACTTTGAATGATTATGAAGCACACAAGTTGTGTTTCCAATCTTGGACAGCATTTTTTTAGTTGTGAACAAATTATTTCTGTTATGAACGTTGACGATTTTCTTCAACATCCAGCCTGTGCAGAAGTGTGATCAACAATTTGGCAACATCCTCATTTAATCAAATGGCACAATGGAAGTACATAGGTTAGTCAAGGCACAGGCTACATGCACAACCTTATCAAATGTTGTCATGTTTTCATCTTTCCTCATTAGCTTACAGATCTCTACAGGACCATTCAATACTTCGTACTTCTGCCTGACCAAACCTATTACTCTCTCAACATGTATTCGTACTGAAGCAAGTTTTCTTGTGGTCTCAGCTTCTTCCTTACTTAGTTGGCTCTTGCCCTTAGTAAAGGCAGGTATTTTTAGGGTCGCACCATATACACCTACTGAATCATGAATGTTGAAACCTCGGTCTGCCAGCACTTCATCGCCTGGTTGCAATTTGTACAAGATACCACAATTTTCAGTTATGTGTTTGTCACTTGCTCGACCCCCCCCCCCCATCCCTTTGAAATGAAAATGATTGCTCCTTGAGGTGCAACACCAATCAAATATTTCAAGGTATTCCTGGCCTTGTAACTGGAGTATGTTTGCGACTTGGCCCTTTGGTCACTTGATCGTTCCATTGTGACTTCACTGTACACTTTGGATATACAGATCTGAACACAATTGGAAGGGTTTTCCTTAATTCTTCTCTTTCAGGCCAAAACACAGCCATGGGAACCAACCTTGCATAAAGCACATCAATCACACTATTAACTGTTCTTGAAACAGTTGAGCAGTTCACATTAAATCTATAGGCTAAATCTTGATTACAGAGGTTAAGACGAAGGTACATAAGTGTCATTAGTAGCTGCTGGAACTTTGAAAGAACTGCTTTAGGATGAGTGTTCAGAAATGGTGAAATCTCCTGAAGAACAGTTTGAAGTAGTGTTAATGATGGAAGACCTGTGCAGAATTTGACCTTGTCATCATCTTTGAAGCTGTTTTCTGACAGTGACAAATGTTCTACAGTTTCTTTGAGATGATGATTTTCCTCCAACAGTCTCCTACACTCTAACTCAATGGAGGCTGCACTTACTGTATCTGAAGGGGAAGAAGTTGAAGTTGAAGCTTGCTGTGCAGATTGACATGACATAGATGGCTGATGCACTTGCAGACTCAGTAAAGTCTCTGCTGCTTCCTCTTGCAAATCTTGTTCCATTTGAACCTTTTCTAAGGCTTCAGTTTGCAAAGTCATTAGAGCCTGTGCAGCTGTTTCTTTAGCGGCATTCTCTCTCCTGCGAAGTTTTAGTGCCTCACGCTTTTCAAACCGTTCCAGAGCAGTCCTCTTCCGTTTCTTGTCAGGAGATGTCGTGTCTGGAAAAACTGAGGGAACATAATCCGGTGACAGAGGATTTCTGCTCTGTTTTCCTGCATAAGTAAGAGGAAAAAAATAAATGCACATATTTATTTCATGTAGTTAAAACTCTGTTTCTGACTTTTTTTTTTTTTTTTACAATAAACTCGGAATGTGCTATCCCTGATCCCTATTATACAGCCAACAATGGGGTTAGTGGGAGGGGACTGGGTGCACTAGCTCAATTGCTCTGAAGGACACTGTTAGAAACAAATTAAGCTCATTTCCCAATTATTGTAATGGGACTTTGGACAAAGGCTCAACCTATGTACTAGTTGAGATTACAAGGCAAACAAATAAACCAGTAGAAACTGGTTAAATTGTTTTGCTTAGACCTATAATAACCGCAACTGCTTTGTTGGTTTCCTGCCACCTATTTTTTTTCTTTTTTTTTTTTTTCAGTTTTTTCTAGCCATCTGTCCATGTTTAGGCTATGATGATTTGCATTGTATGCTTGTGGTGGAATAGATGTTGCTTGAATTGGATCAATTTGAATAAATTGCCTCTTTTTTTTAAATTTCTTTCCAATAAAACTGTAGGCCTACATGTATCTTTTTTTGTACCTATATCACTTTGGACACCATATGCATTAGCAAAAGAAGCAAGAAAACAGAAAAATCTACATGCCATCTTGGAAAATCTGGCATCTTGGAAAACAAACACTTGTCTTCTTTTAGGTTTATGAAAGAAAAACCTGCAAGAAACTAAATTATTTTTTACTTGGTCTTTTAGTCCCATATGGGGTGTTTTCCTCGTCATTTTCTAGCTTACATCATTGTTCAGAGTAAGAAAAGTTTACTGCATGCGTTTGAAATTTCTATTCTGTTTTTTTTGGCTCAAACTTTAGGACTGTAGGCCATATTACTATAAGTTAACTGCAATTCTAATTTAAGAAATATTCAACCAGATAAATATAAGAAATTGAAAAAGGGCAGTAAAGCCAAGCCCAAGCATGCCAAGGCATGTTGAAGCAGGCTCTGCTCAGATAGTCCTGAGTAACACTCAGCCTAAATAAGATGGCTTACTAAAGGCCTAGCATGCCTAGGCATATGCTAGGCAACGTCTCACCCATCACAATGGTAGTTATTTGAACAGGACGATTCATGGTTTAATGACGAATGCTAGAATTTATTGAACTGTTATCGGTAGTCCTTCTGCTGAAGATCCCACTTTAGCCGCCCTAGCTAAGTTAGATTAAAGCCAAGACGAACTTGCAAATGTCGAATTCACAAAATTTACCCACACAGGCTGCATTTATAGCCTAGGCCTACATGACTTACCAGAAATGAAATGTGCACTACAGAGACGGCTCCCGTCATTCGGCATCCAACCCGGTTCACGTTTTATTGCATTGATCCATTTTTGCCGACGCTCTTCGTCCGTAGGAAACCGATAGAAAGAAATGCCCGACCCGGCTGTTTTCCTGTGTTTACAACGCACGACAACACAAGTATGTACCATTTTGTACAAACCTTGACCCGAGCCTGGCGACGTACCGTACCAGATCTCGATAAATTAACCAAAAAGGAGGGCAAAGGTGACGGGTCAAAGGGAAATTGAGCGGAAGACGTCATGTGGCGGCGCCGTCACGTATATATATGCGTGTACAAAACTGTGTGTAATTTGACTCCCAAAATGGCGGACGACATCAAAACGTGGTAGCTATGGGCGTTTTCGAATCCCTGTTCTTGACAACACGCGTGTAACACGAGAACGTGTTCTCGAGCTGGTTGTTACGAACGCGCGGGTGCGTGTCGCATCGATACAAAGCAATGCAAAATGGCCGACAATCGTCTGAATTTGTACTTAGGCCTATTCCAAATGAACGAGGACGACTGTTGCAAAACCGGACATGCGGGGATGAAATTGCAGACCTGCACTATAACGGTATTCTTATTCCAATCATTAGGGTATTAGCAAAAAAACAAACAAACACAAAACAATTTACGAATCTGCACAGTCCGCCATTTTGTTCAAGCTGCACCTCGCCGAACGCTCCATCAACCGGGGAGTGAAAATCTCGATCCGCGATCGCCCTCTCGGGTCTGTTCGTCACGTTCGAGACCGCTGTTCTCGTGTCGGGTTAACCCGAGTGTTGTCAAGAACAGGGATTCGAAAACGCCCTATGTGACGTCATTGCAAGGGGTTAATACTGTAGACTTGGCCAAGCCTGGGTTGCGCTCGGTCTGTACGTCTGCATGCACGTACTGGGCTGTTGTCTACAAGTAATGTACATGTACATGTACGTACATGTGCGTACGGCGCCGCCGCACGCACGTCCAAAAAACGAGGTCATACGTCACAAACTGTTTATGCATATTCATGATTACAGCGCGGCCGCCATTTTGAAATCGCATGGGGGAGCATTTTCGAGACGATATGCTGAGCCTGCATACTGCCAAAGTTACCAGTGGCATCCCTACATGATTTTCTCGTGCAAATAGGACCCATTTTGGACCCTAATTTTATCAAATCTGCTCTTAGATAATAGTCCAAAAGCTAGGGAGATGATCCTCGGCTATATTCGCACGATTCCACCGATTTTTAAACTAGACGGTCTCGTTTTTTGCAAAAAATTGTGGGGGCACTTTTTATGCAAATTAACGACGCGGACGCGTAGAAATTTTGAAACCCTAATCAAATTTATTGCGCCCGCTGTTGGTCTTATTGCGCCAATCTGATATATCTTCTGTTTAGCCCCCCCCCCCCACAGCCACCCCCCCCCCCCCCACCACCACCACACCGAAAAATAATGGTAATTAAATACTGTTAAAAATGTGCTCGTTTATTCAGAAATTCATGAAGCATATTCAAACTGATTGGATGTTTCCAAAGTGTCTTTCCCATTTGCAAAAGTTCTTTTTAAAAGCCCATCAACCATTAGAGACACACTCTCGGAAAAAATGGTTCGGATAACATTGTTAACTTATTTCTTATGATGGGACTGCGGTTTGGCCGAAGTCAATTGAGCGTGATCGGCTGACTGATAAGGTTTACGTACAAAACCCCAAGACAACGAGGTTTTTGTATAGAAAGCTGCTGGACCACATTTTGCGAGAGTGTGTCCATAATGATTTGTGGAAGATTATGACTGAAAGTCGTCTTTTGGCCAGATGGATGAAAATATTGAGACCAAAGAACGTTTTTTTCAAAAAGGTATGATTTGCTCTACGACTAAGAACCTTAACTGTGGAAATTTTTGTCCTGGATGAAAAGATAATCTCGATCAAAAGAGCGGCCAAAAAAAATCAGTCTTTTTGGAAGCATTCAGCGTCTGGCCGTACGACAGAGCTTGCGATAGTACTGTACGGCCAGACGCAGTCGGGCTAAGTAACAACCCAACCTTGTGGCCTGAAAGCTTCGAGTATGGCGACATGTATAATTATTTGATTAATTCACCTGGCCCATACACTAAAGACACAATGAAATCATTCAAGTCATTGGACTCCTACAGCAACTTCGTGAATGGATTTGTCCAGGCCATACTGTATTCTTCAGTTAGTGCTGATAGTCCTGTTTGTGTACTTCGAAGCAGAGTCACTCATTCACAGAGCTTGACCAAACCCCCTGTGAGTACCTGGATTATGATCATCAAATCCACAGGATCAGTAGTTGCTGCTCACTGCATGTGCATGGCAGGGTAAGAGAAGAGCTTACTTCAATTTGTTTTGTGACAAGGAAACAATGTTGCAACCTGACGCCACTTCAGCAGTTGTGTACAGTCTACATGTATGGACAGTCGATACATTTTTTGAAGTATTTCCTAACAGTAACAAAATTGGAAATGTTTCTCAGTCCCAGAGTCATGTCCAATCATCATTTTTGACTGACCTTCAATGAGATCAAATAATTTTAAAGAAAAAAGCAGCGTCAGGTTGCAACGTTCAACATGCTTTTCAAAAGCAGCATATAAATATGTTATGGCTAGGGGCCTACTTTATGTTTTGTAAAAATTCAGTCCAAGATTTATTCTTTAAACTTGAGCCAAGTTGAAGGATTTTAAGTGCAAATATTTTTTCAGGGTAAACGGTACTTTGAGTACCTACTTTAGTTACATGTACCTCCAAGTACCAACTTAAATACAATAGTAACAGTAGCCTACTACTGAATGCTAGTAGTAGTCGGTGGCACAGCAAAATAATAATTTATTCCTATACAGCTCATTACATCATCAGGAAAAAAATCAATGCGCTTTACGAAGTTAATCGCTTACGTCATTAGAAGTGCATCAAAAATCACTAAGAATATTACTTTAAAATCTGACAAAAAATAATATGTTTTAATGTAGACCCGTGAACTTGGCTATGTTATTGACGCTATGGGTCTAGGTTTAGTGCCGACTCACGAGGCGATTGTGTATCTACGGGCCTGGTTCCTATAAGGGAACAAAATCCACTTTTAATTATTTGACCAACCAATGAAACTAGTCGGCGACAGTAGGAACATGCATGTATGGTGTGTTGAATTTTTTAGGGTAATTTTAGGGGTAAAATGACGATGACAATAACAAAACGCAACTCGAAAATAAAGATGGCGATCACTGCAGTGTGTACTGTGAACACGTAAGGTGTGCTGAATTGCATGGCACCAACCATAAACAGCAGAAGAACATTTTAAATTCTACCCCAAGGAACTTCAACAATTACAAAAGAAATGTGTCATCATATTGAGAGAGATCTGCTTCAGGTTAAAAAGGTCATATTTAAAGGGAATGTACATCATTGGCTTTTGCTGTAATTTTCAGAAATGAACTATTTGAGAGGTTAGTATAATAGATCAAATATTGTTACACTGACATTTTTGAAGTTTTGTGTTCGAAAAAGTTGGAAAAACCAAGCAAAACAAAAATGTTCAAGTAGTCTGGTCCCCGACTCCACAAAAGATAAAATGGATCAATTTATATATGATGGAAAATTGTAAGGCAAGGGAACCAGTCTAGCTTGCCTGCACCCGTTCATGAACATGTAACCAATAGCAAACAAAATTTGGACCAAAAAATGGTAAATTTGAAGCTATAGTTGAAAATAGTTAGGTTTTTCCAACGCTGGTCGGCCGACCACCGTTGGAAATGTTTACAAAAATACCATTTTCTTGAAAATGACTTCACACCAGGTGCCATAACTTTACAAGATGCTTGAGACTGTCATTTACCAACATACTAGTAAGGTATTTCGTAAAAACTTGGTAGTTTTATTTTTCGATGTTTGCAAATGTTGTATATTCCCTTTAAATAAGAAAACACCTTGACTGCAATTTGATCGAAACTAAACAGGGGCCCTACACATTTGTGTTCTTGGATTGGGGGTGATAAGGAGATTGTCTTCCATTTACATGATTTTGTGTTACATATATTTTATTTCCAGGCTTGGAGAGGCATGCAGCCATATCGCAGCAGTGATGTTCAAGTTGGAGGCAGCGAACCGCCTAGGTTACACTTCACAGGCATGTACTGAAAAGGCCTGTAGTTGGAACAAAGACTGCATGAATCATTGGAAGGACTTATTAGACCCACGTACCCTTAAAGATCTTAGCTTCACAAAGCCCAAAAATCAGTCAAGTCAAGGCAGGCAAGAAAATAGGTCAATACGCCCACTCAACCCTATATCAACAGCCACTTTAGGAGATCTTGATTTAGATGCATTGAAAAGGGTAAGCCCAGAGGCATGCAAAATAATGTAAAACTAGAGTTGCAGACAGAACTACCAACACCCTATTGTCACCTTAAAGCAACTGAAGTTCCGGACCGTCAGCAAATCTCTGAAGAGCAAGCAGAACTCATTGCATCAAGCACATCTGGACAGAGAAAATCGAACTTGTGGCACCTCTATCGTTATGGTAGAATTACTGCATCAGTACTGGGGTCTGTGGTCAAATTCATGAGTGGATCGTCAAAGAGGGATGTTTCTTCGCTTAGCTCCAAAATGCTTGAACTTAACTCGTTCTTTCCAACCAGAGCCATGAAATGGGGGATTGATCATGAGTCAATGGCCTTGGCTTCTCTGAAACAGTGTGTAGAGTTAGAGGGCCATCAAAATGTTACACTGTGGAATGTTGGGCTCTACATAGACCCAGATTCACCATTTCTTTGAACATCTCCTGATGCCATGGTCAGTTGCACATGTTGTGGGGTGCAGTGTGTGAAGGTCAAATGTCCACACACACAAAATGCACAAAGTTTTGCTGGATCCAAAGCCATTGACTGTTTGAATGTGACAGGGAATGAACAAAATTGTACAATTTCTCTGAAGGAAAAACATGACTACTTTTACCAAGTGTTGTGTCAAATTGGTGTTCTAAACAAATTGAAAACTGTATCATCTGGGTTGTTTGTTGTTTGGACATCCAAAGGAATGTTTGTGCAGAAAATCAATGATAATGCAGACCAGTGGAAAGCAATTAAGGAAAACAGGGAATTGTTTTTTAAACAATATCTT